ATTCTCTGTCAAAAATAAATATATTTCCACGGGAAACGTATATTTTTCCTATCCTATGAGCTATTCCAGACTATAATCTATATTTGTGCCAAATTTCATCCAGATCCGTTCAGCCGTTCTTACAACAAACTTTCGAATTTGTATATTAGTAAGATTTTTATTTCTTTAACCTAAATACCTTAAAAAAAATAATTTCTCATGTGCTTCTCTTGTCTAAGCTAATTTTTAGATAGTTCTAATTTGTTTGTCCATCTTTTTCTCTATGTTCTTGCATTTTTTTGTATACTAGCATCAATAGAAAGATAAAAGTCAACACTACAAATTATTCTCAGTAGCTTTATGCCAGGTCATTTATTAGATTCTCCAAACTTTTTTTTAGAATCTGATTATGAGTTTTCGTTGGAATCTTTCAAGTCATTTAGATTCTCCAAACTTTTTTCCAATAATTTTCATAAATTATTTAAAACGTATTATCATTCTTACAAAATATTTTTGACTGGCAAGATGGTACAACTTTTCTACATACTTTTCTATATATTTAAAATAATAAAATAAAAATCTTCAATACGAAAATTATCTATAGGTGAAATACACCGATAGCGGCATCGAAGCGATAGTTTTCACCGCCCAAGGCGATATGCGACAAGCTCTAAATAACCTCCAATCGACCCATAACGGTTTCGGGGAGGTCAATTCGGGAAACGTCTTCAAAGTTTGCGACGAGCCGCATCCGATGCTTATCAAAGATATGTTAAAAAGTTGTATGGAAGGCGACATCAGAAAAGCTTACAAGGTGATCGAACATTTGTGGAATTTAGGGTACGCCGCTGAGGATATTATTAAGAATATTTTTAAGGTGTGCAAGAATATGGATATGGAAGAAGGTTTGAAACTTGATTTTATAAAGGTAATGATTAATTTTAATGGTTTTTATATGTATTTAATTTTCTTAAATAAAACATATTTTCAACGATTTTCCGTTACAATAATCGTTAGGATTTTCATGGGAAAAATGTATAAGAGTATCGTCTCATTAAAATAAATATTAATACCTAAAATTCAATTTAAAATGCCAAAAAAAAATTAGATCGATAAATAGAAAGTTCAAATCAACAAAAAAAGTGTTTGTGATAGGATAAACTGTTGTCTTTGGCAGTGGAGTGTCGTTAAAAAGGGATCCTAATTTAATTAGCCAAAACTTTTTATTATTACATTATTATTTTTTATTATTTTTTCATATTTTTTGTAGGAAATTGGGTGGACGCATCAGCGTATCGTTGACGGTTTGTGCACGTTAATTCAAATGTCAGGTTTATTAGCAAAATTATGCAAAGCCGCTACAGGAGAAGGAAAGTTTTAAATTTTTTCTATTTTTTATAAATTTATTTTCAAAGTGTATTTTAATTAAAAAAATTAGAAAATGGTGCGTTTTATTAAAGAAAAAATTGGCGTGCAACGGGTACAAAAGAATTAAAATACGAGGGTCAATAAATATCTAGATATGGCTTTGTTGTCAGGAAGTTACTACTCAAGATATTTACTTATTACTAAAAAATATTAATTCCAATTTTGAAGTTCAAAATTGAATGAAAAAATAAATTTTCTGGAAGTGGAAAATAAATTTTTTAAAAATCAGAATTTTTTACATTTTGAAAAATTTTTCGAATACGGACCATTTTAGGAAAATTTTGTATACAATAAAAATTATAGAGAATAATATTATAAATAATTTGAAAAATCTTAAAAACGTCTAAAAATGTTAGAAAAACGTTGGAAAACGTCTGAAGATGTCAAAACAAACGTGACAAAGATTGAAAACTTTGAAAAACGTCTAAAACTCTTAAAAAAACGTTGACAAACGTCGAAAAACAAATTTTTTGAAAATCGTTGAAAAACGTCTAAAAATCTTATAAAAACATTGGAAAACGTCGAAAAACGTCTGAAAATGTTATAAAAACGTTAAAAAACATTGAAAAACGCCTAAAACAGTTAAAAAAACGGACTAGTAATAACGGAAATTGAAGCTTAGACTCTTTCAACGTTGAAAAACGTTAAAAACGTCTAAAAATGTTATAAAAACGTCGAAAAAAATCTAAAAATGTTATAAAAAAAAACGTTGAAAAATGTTTAAAACCGTTGAAAAACCTAAAAAAAGTTATAAAAAAAAGTTCGAAAAACGTCTAAAACTGTTAAAAAAAAAACCGTTGAAAAATATCGAAAAACCTTAAAAACGTCGAAAAACGTCTAAAAATGTTAGAAAAACGATAGAAAACGTCTAAAAATGTAAAAAAACGGGAAAAAGATTGAAAACGTTGAAAACGTCTAAAACTCTTAAAAACACGTTGACAAACGTCTAAAACTCTTAAAAAAACACGTTGACAAACGTCTAAAAACATAAAAATTTTGAAAATCGTTGAAAAACGTCTAAAAATCTTATAAAAACGTCGAAAAACGTCAAAAAATGTTAGAAAAACGATAGAAAACGTCTAAAAATATAAAAAAAACGGGAAAAAGATTGAAAACGTTGAAAACGTCTAAAACTCTTAAAAACACGTTGACAAACGTCTAAAACTCTTAAAAAAAACACGTTGACAAACGTCTAAAAACATAAAAATTTTGAAAATCGTTGAAAAACGTCTAAAAATCTTATAAAAACGTTGGAAAACGTCTAAAAATGTTATAAAAACGATAGAAAACGTCTAAAAATGTAAAAAAATGGGAAAAAGATTGAAAACGTTGAAAACGTCCAAAACTCTTAAAAACACGTTGACAAACGTCTAAAACTCTTAAAAAAAACACGTTGACAAACGTCTAAAAACATAAAAATTTTGAAAATCGTTGAAAAACGTCTAAAAATCTTATAAAAACGTTGGAAAACGTCTAAAAATGTTAGAAAAAACGATAGAAAACGTCTAAAAATGTAAAAAAACGGGAAAAAGATTGAAAACGTCTAAAACTCTTAAAAACACGTTGACAAACGTCTAAAACTCTTAAAAAAACACGTTGACAAACGTCTAAAAACATAAAAATTTTGAAAATCGTTGAAAAACGTCTAAAAATCTTATAAAAAACGTTGGAAAACGTCTAAAAATGTTATAAAAACGTTATAAATCGTCTAAAAATGTTATAAAAAAACGTTTTTAAAATGTCTGAAACCGTTGAAAAATCTAAAAAAGTTATAAAACAGTTTGAAAAACGTTAAAAAACACTGAAAAACGTCTAAAACTGTTAAAAACCCGTTGAAACATGTCGAAAAACCTTAAAAACGTCGAAAAACGTCTAAAAATGTTTAAAAAAAACGTTGGAAAACGTCTAAAGATGTCAAAAAAAAAAAACGTGAAGAAGATTGAAAACTTTGAAAAACGTCTAAAACTCTTAAAAAACGTTGACAAACGTCGAAAAATATAAAAATTTTGAAAATCGTTGAAAAACGTCTAAAAATCTTATAAAAACATTGAAAAACGTCTGAAAATGTTATAAAAACGTTAAAAAAACATTGAAAACGCCTAAAACAGTTAAAAAACGGACTAGTAATAACGGAAATTGAAGCTTAGACTCTTTCAACGTTGAAAAACGATGAAAAACGTCTAAAAATTTTATAAAAACGTTAGAAAACGTCGAAAAACGTCTAAAAATGTTATAAAAAAAGTTGAAAAATGTTTAAAACCGTTGAAAAAACCAAAAAAAGTTCGAAAAACGTCTAAAACTGTTTAAAAAAAACCCGTTGAAAAATGTCGAAAAACCTTAAAAACGTCTAAAAATGTTAGAAAAACGATAGAAAACGTCTAAAGATGTAAAAAAAACGTGAAAAAGATTGAAAACGTTGAAAAACGTCTAAAACTCTTAAAAATACGTTGACAAACGTCTAAAACTCTTAAAAAACACGTTGACAAACATAAAATTTTTGAAAATCGTTAAAAAACTTCTAAAAATCTTATAAAAACGTTGGAAAACGTCGAAAACGTCTAAAAATGTTATAAAAAACGTTTAAAAATGTCTGAAACCGTTGAAAAACCTAAAAAAGTTATAAAACAGTTTGAAAAACGTTAAAAAACACTGAAAAACGTCTAAAACTGTTAAAAACCCGTTGAAACACGTCGAAAAACCTTAAAAACGTCGAAAAACGTCTAACAATGTTGGAAAAACGTTGGAAAACGTCTAAAGATGTCAAAAAAAAAAACGTGAAAAAGATTGAAAACTTTGAAAAACGTCTAAAACTTTTAAAAAACGTTGACAAACGTCGAAAAACAAAAATTTTTGAAAATCGTTGAAAAACGTCTAAAAATCTTATAAAAACATTGGAAAACGTCGAAAATCGTCTGAAAATGTTATAAAAACGTTAAAAAACATTGAAAAACGCCTAAAACAGTTAAAAATAGACTAGTAGTAACGGAAATTGAAGTTTAGGCCCTTCTAGCAATCGTCTGATTTTTCTGTTCGACGTTCCCTCCCATTCTCCCGCTCCCTTTCACTCTGCCTCACTCTTACTTACTGAATCTGTACCTCTTACTTTTACACATTGAATTCCCTATTATAGATAATAATATTGTAAGTAACTTTTATTTGAAGAATTTTCTCATTTTAGAGATAATTTTGTAAAGTATACTACCACATGTTGTTAGTCAATCTCTTTATTTTTCGTTTTGCATTTACATTTATATTATCACAGAATAAACAATATACAATAACAATTAATATTATTTAATTATTTAAATGTACATTAGAAAAATATTTTTATTCCAATTTCAGTCTCTCTAGTTCAATGTTTTGAAAATAATTTTGAAATAAGTCAGCATTTTTATTATTATAAATTAGATACGAAATTGCAACGTGTTTATTATTAATTGCATATGAAATTAAACATTTTAATTCAATAAATAATTAATTTCATATACAGGATGTTAATTTAATTGGTGAATATAAAGAAAAATGTTCAAATCTGTATATCTATGGTTCGAACAAACATAAATTTATTTTTTATTTAGAAATAAAATACAAACTAGTTTAAATATTTTTATTTTACAATATATAAAGTTTTCTACACCATAGCCAATTATTTGTTTATGACGAAACAAATCCTCCATCAATTGGTAAACACATTCCAGTAATCATACTAGCTTTATCGCTGATTAAAAATGTTACCGCATCGACAACTTCTTGTATTTCCCCGAATCTTCCTAACGGAATCTTCTCCAACATCGGCTTCATTACGTCGGGATCAGACCAAACCAACTTACCCATATCTGTCCAAATGACAGTCGGATTAACAGCGTTGAATCTGATGTTTTTCGGACCGTATTCTAGAGCAGCAGCTCTGGTGAAGCTGTCCACTGCGCCCTTTGAGGCGCCGTATACGGTGTGATTGTTCAAACCTACTAAGGAAGCTTGGGATGAGATATTGACTATGCTGCCTGGTGCTTTTCGTTTGATGAGGTTTCTGACGACGATTTTCGAGACGTTGATAACGGTTTTGACGTTAATTGCAAACACCCTGTTGGAATATTTAGAAATATGAGATTATATCGACGAAATAGTGAATTTTTTATCGAAATTGGCAAAATGTTATCAACGTTAAGCCATCTTCAGTGTATGTTAGCAGGTAAACAAATTTTTGTGTGATATTTAAAATATAATGTATATAACAGCGGCAGTCAAGAGCAAAATACCGCCGACACCTCTCCGGGTAGAACGAATTGAGTCGCCTTGAGTGTCTAGTTCTCATGCATTGCGTTCTATCGGTGATCATTTGGTAACTAAATAATAATTTGACTTGATAATTATTAAAATCTATTATGTAAATATAAAATAATTTACAGTATTACAATTTTATAGCCACAGTAGCAACTATTTTGATAGATGTTTTATTTAAGAATACTTTTGTTTAATAGATGAAGCGGCATTACATATTTAATAGTTCTTTTTTCTAACAGATGGCGTAATAATTCTATTTATTAGATGGTAAATTTCTGGAATTCTGACATCCTGACACTGTGATGTCCGCCCACCCTGCGCAATATACAGTGTTGCCATCAAATTTTAACAGAAATTTCCACAGATGCCCAAATAAAACCGCAAAATTTTATAATTCCCACAATTTTTCCCTTATCCGTTTTTAATTGATAAAAAAAATACATTTTGTTTTAAAAAGACGTATTTAAATTTGAAAAATAATAGAATGAACGTTAAACGACAGTAAAATTGCAATAACATGACTTTCCTATCTAATTAATAATAAAATACCCCCCCGATGTTTCGACTCTGCTAGAAATCTAATCAATTCACCACAGGCCAAAATTTGGTGTTTTTCTCTTTATCCGTTTTTGAGTTTTGTTCAAAATTCGAAATTTACACATTTTCTCAAATATCTCGAATACGGTCCATTTTAGGAAAATTTTGTATAGAACAAAAATTATAGAGAATAAAATTAGAAGTAACTTTTATTCAAAGAATTTTCTTCTCCAAACGTAAATAACTGATATATTACATAAAATATAAAAATTACCACCTATAAAGTACCCTCCCAGATGTTCCGACACTGCCAAAAATCTAATCAGTTCCACGCAAGCCAGAATAAAGCTTAAGTTTAAAATTTGGTGTTTTTCCCTTTATCCGTTTTTGAGTTTTCTTTAAAATTCGAAATTTACACTTTTTCACAAATATCTCGAATACGGTCCATTTTAGGAAAATTTTGTATATAACAAAAATTATAGAGAATATTATAAGAAATAACTTTTATTTGAAGAATTTTTTTCTCCAAACGTAAATAACATATATTCCATAAAATATAAAAATTACCACCTATAAAGTACCCTCCCAGATGTTCCGACACTGGCAAAAATCTAATCAGTTCCACGCAAGCCAGAGTAAAGCTTAAGTTTAAAATTTGGTGTTTTTCCCTTTATCCGTTTTTTAGTTTTCTTTAAAATTCAAAATTTACACTTTTTCACAAATATCTCGAATACGGTCCATTTTAGGAAAATTTTGTATGGAACAAAAATTATAGAGAATAAAATTAGAAGTAACTTTTATTTGAACAATTTTTTTCTCCAACCGTAAATAACAGATATATTCCATAAAATATAAAAACAATCCCCTATAAAATATTCCCCCAGATGATTCGATTATGCTAAAAATATAATCAGTTCACCGCAGGCCAGAATAAAGCTTAAGTTTAAAATTTGGTGTTTTTCTCTTTATCCGTTTTTGAGTTTTCTTCAAAATTCGAAATTTACACTTTTTTACAAATATCTCGAATACGGTCCATTTTAAGAAAATTTTGTATATTATAAAAATTATAGAAAATAATATTAGAAATAACTTTTATTTAAAGAATTTTCTTCTCCAAACGTAAATAACTGATATATTCCATAAAATATAAAAATGACCACTTATAAAGTACCCTACCAGATGTTCCGACACTGCCAAAAATCTAATCAGTTCCACGCAAGTCAGAGTAAAGCTTAAGTTTAAAATTTGATGTTTTTCCCTTTATCCGTTTTTGAGTTTTCTTTAAAATTCAAAATTTACACTTTTTCACAAATATCTCGAATACGGTCCATTTTAGGAAAATTTTGTATATAACAAAAATTATAAAGAATATTATAAGAAATAACTTTTATTTGAAGAATTTTTTTCTCCAAATGTAAATAACAGATATATTCCATAAAATATAAAAATGACCACTTATAAAGTACCCTACCAGATGTTCCGACACTGCCAAAAATCTAATCAGTTCCACGCAAGTCAGAGTAAAGCTTAAGTTTAAAATTTGATGTTTTTCCCTTAATCCGTTTTTGAGTTTTCTTTAAAATTCGAAATTTACACATTTTCTCAAATATCTCGAATACGGTCCATTTTAGGAAAATTTTGTATAAAACAAAAATTATGAAAAATAATATAAGAAATAACTTTTATTTAAAGAATTTTCTTCTCCAAACGTAAATAACTGATATTTTCCATAAAATATAAAAATTACCCTCTATAAAGTACCTCCCAGATGATCCGACTCTGTCTAAAATCTTATCATTTCACCTCAAAGCAGAATAAAGCTTAAATTTAAAATGTAATGTATTTTTCTTTATCCGTTTTTGAGTTTTCTTTAAAATTCGAAATTTACATTTTTTCACAAATATCTCGAATACAGTCCATTTTTGGAAAATTTTGTATAGAACAAAAATTATAGAGAATAAAATTAGAAGTAACTTTTATTTGAACAATTTTTTTCTCCAAACGTAAATAACAGACATATTTCATAAAATATAAAAACGTACTCCTTCTTTGAAACGGTATCGCATGGACGTCATATCAACAAAAATTAAATTACTGCTAATACGACACACATCAAATCCTATAACGAACCACGCAAATTAATTAAAAATTCACATAGACTGTCGCAGGATTATCAACTACAAAATTGCCTATAAGCGAATCTAAATGTGTGAAATAACTACGCTACTGAGCTGGCAAATATAGATAAACACTGAAGATGGTTTAAAAAGCCGAAAATAATTCGCAATTTTAATTAAAAAAAAAATAGACATTGGAAAAATGTACTTGTAATGTATTTCTATTATTTTACACCTATTTAGTTTCTTACTATTTAAAACCTCTAATTTAAAACGATTATTTTCGGTAATTTAACCAGTTTTCGAATTATTTTGAAATAAAAACAATTTTTTGGACTATTATTTGTAATATGTGTTCTTTATCTTGCTTTTTTTTGTCTATTTTATGATAAATTTCTATTATTTTACACCTATTTAGCGTTATACTACTTAAATAATCTAAATCAAATTGAATATTTTCCGAAATTTAACCAGTTTTCGAATTATTTTCAAACTTTCGTCAAGTTCTACTTCAACCGAAAACATCAGTGATAGAATATCTAATAACGTCAACTTTCGTATCTAGGGACAAACACTTCGTTGTTTACTATCCACATTCCACACTAATTACTTTTCCTTTGCATCGAAAGTGTAGCACTGAGCTACGTCACTTCTGAAAATATCGTTCCATCCATACAATTTTTATATATGGAACGATATTTTCAGAATTGGTGTAGCCCAGTGCTACACTTTCAATGCAAAGGAAAAGACCTATTATGTAATGTACTAACGTTACCTGTCAAAGTCTTCTTCTTTAACATCGATCAAAGGTCCTGATAATCCCAAACCAGCATTGTTTACCAACAAATCCACATTCCCTACATTTTCTAACGTAGAATTTGTAGCATCCCAATCTGTCAAATCCAGTGGTATAATCCTAATAGAAGGTACTTCTTTTTGAAGTGAAATTAGCAGTTCTTTGTTTCTTGCAACAGCGATGACATTCGCTTTACATTTGACTAATTGTTTCACAATTTCTCTGCCTATTCCTTGACTAGCGCCTGTTACTAATGCCGTTTTGCCTTGAAAATTGATTTCCATTTTTTTTTTTGGAGAATTTTATCGAATGTTTAGTTGAAATAGAATAACAACTAGGTACCTATATATCTGTCCTTATCACTGAGTTCAAGATTATGAAATATCAAGGTTAAATCGTCAACTGTTGATAATATTGTCTGCGGAATTTATACAGAGTATATGTTTTACTATCTTACTAATCTAAAGGTATTATATTGTTAGCAGTTAAACGAATTAACTTGAAAATTGTTTTTTAACGATTTATCACCCTGTATACTATAAAATCCTGTATAGCCACTTCACAAAATACGTGTTAACAATGTTTTATTAAATATCTCATAGATAATGTTTGAAATGTAATTAATTAAGGAACAAAATGAAGATTTTTTTAACGGGTATAAATGCCTTAATTGCTTGCGTTCGACCGATCAAAATTGAAGTGTTCCCTTTTCCTCTAGGATATCTAAAACCCGAAGAATAAAGCACTCTTCTAGTAGTAAAAAATACATAATTTGAATATATTGCTGTATTTTTTTCATAGGGAAATACACCTAAGGTTAGGTTAGATAGATGTAAATATCTATCTAACCTAACCTTAGGTGTATTTCCCTATGAAAAAAATACCTAGTTTGAATTGCAGTCCACCGTCCCACCAGATTTTACGTCTAGTCGGTGTTTAATCTATATATACCGGGTGTTTAAATTAAAGTTTTACAATTAAATACCGGCGAAAATATGTTTTTTATAAAAAAAAATCTGATGTGTCCAACACATGACTTTCTTATCTAATTATTATAGGCTTTTCCGGTTATTTTGTACAACCTATTGTAACACCTCTATAAATGTTTAGAGGATAAACTTACACATTTTCTCTAATATCTCGAATATGGCCCATTTTAGAGAAATTATGTATAGGATAAAAATTATAGAAAATTATATTACAAACAACTTTTATTTGAACAATTTTTATAAAAAATTATTTTTTTTTACATTTTGTCAAATTTCTCGAATACGGACCATTTTCGGAAAATTTTGTATAGAACAAAAATTATAGATAATAATATTGTAAGTAACTTTTATTTGAAGAATTTTTTTCTCCAAACATAAATAACAGATATATTCCATAAAATATAAAAACAATCCCCTATAAAATACTCCCCCAGATGATCCGATTATGCTAAAAATATAATCAGTTCACCGCCGGCCAGAATAAAGCTTAAGTTTAAAATTTGGTGTTTTTCTCTTTATCCGTTTTTGAGTTTTCTTCAAAATTCGAAATTTACACTTTTTTACAAATATCTCGAATACGGTCCATTTTAGGAAAATTTTGTATATTATAAAAATTATAGAGAATAAAATTAGAAGTAACTTTTATTCAAAGAATTTTCTTCTCCAAACGTAAATAACTGATATATTACATAAAATATAAAAATTACCACCTATAAAGTACCCTCCCAGATGTTCCGACACTGCCAAAAACCTAATCAGTTCCACGCAAGTCAGAATAAAGCTTAAGTTTAAAATTTGATGTTTTTCCCTTTATCCGTTTTTGAGTTTTCTTTAAAATTCAAAATTTACACTTTTTCACAAATATCTCGAATACGGTCCATTTTAGGAAAATTTTGTATAGAACAAAAATTATAGAGAATAATATAAAAAATAACTTTTATTCAAAGAATTTTCTTCTCCAAACGTAAATAACTGATATATTCCATAAAATATAAAAATTACCACCTATAAAGTACCCTCCCAGATGTTCCGACACTGCCAAAAATCTAATCAGTTCCACGCTAACCAGAATGAAGCTTAAGTTTAAAATTTGGTGTTTTCCCTTTATCCGTTTTTGAGTTTTCCATGAGAGTTTACAGAATAATATCTCTGTCACCAGGGAAATTATTCCTGAGAAAGGATGGGTTATCCTATCAAAAGATAGTAATAAAAATAACGGATACCAAGACTGAGAGTCCACCACGACTTTCACCTTTTTGTTTACTGTAGTAGTACTCATAAAATTATATTAAAAGGCGTAATAAAAGAGGCCTAGTTAATGGCATTGGAAAACTAAATAAATGGCTCTTTGGAAATCTAGATTCGGACACTGTTACATGACATATAAAGAGATAACTGTCAATAAACTTTCTTCTTATGCCCGACGTAGTAGTTTGATTAAACCTAACCTTGCTCCCATCATCACAAAACTAAAACATGGCGCAGTCAGTAGGATACGTTGATGATTAATTAATATTGAAGAAAAAAAAAATAAAACTAAAACACGTTTGCCTGTTTCACACTGTATGTAGATGGATATTTTTATTATAAAAAAAATACAAAGCAGCTTTAATAGTTTTTATTTCACTTTAAAAATTGTGTTTCCTACGCTACATCAGAAGAAAATAAGGATTCTTAAGACGCAACATACCCTCCATCAATAGGTAAACACGTTCCAGTTATCATGCTAGCTTTATCACTAAGCAAAAACGTGACCGCATCCACAACTTCGTGTACTTCCCCGAATCTTCTCAATGGAATCTTCTCCAACATTGGTTTCGCTACGGCTGGATCGGACCACCCCAATTTACCCATATCTGTTAAAATGACAGTTGGGTTAACAGCGTTGAATCTGATGTTTTTGGGACCGTATTCTAAAGCTGCTGCTCTGGTGAAACCATCTACCGCACCTTTCGAGGCGCAATATACAGTGTGATTGTTCAAACCTACCATGGAAGCTTGGGACGACACGTTGACTATACTGCCTGGTACTTTTCTTTCGATGAGATTTCTGACTACGACTTTTGAGACGTTGATCATCGATTTGATGTTAATTGCCATCACCCTGTTGAAATATTCAGAAATATTACATTTATCTAACACATCGATTCTATAAAAATGCTTGAAAGGACGAGACGTTGATTACGTGAAGTTAAATCTTCACTATAGCACCCAAAAACATTTTTTCTCATAATTCTAAACGTATTTGTATATAAATATTATAAAAGATTAATTTAATAGAACATTTAAGCAGAAATTGAAACGTATTGTGCACAAAAACGCGTCTTTTCGCATGACATCGCGTTTTACAAAGTTAAAAACATTTTTCGGTACTTTCAGTTAACGATTTTGTAAAAAAAATACGAAATTATCCAGAACTTTAACTTTTTTATGTAGAAATACCTCTAAAAATGTATGACTGCTAACCTGAAACATCGTGTATTGGATCAATATAAAACTTAAGCCGGTCCTGTCTAAGCCAGCATCTTTATGCACATGCGTTTTGACAAACTCAAATAAAATGGCTGCCCGCTTGAAATTACAGCCCACTGACAGGTTATAATATGGCAACACTGATCCTGATAGTTTGATAGAGTCAATGATATAGATGTTTATATAGATTGATCATTTTAAAGTAGTTATTTATGTTTTTTTATCATATTCAAAAGCTGGAAAACGTTATAAATCGTCAAAAAATGTTATAAAAAACGATTAAAAATGTCTGAAACCGTTGAAAAACCTAAAAAAGTTATAAAACAGTTTGAAAAACGTTAAAAAACACTGAAAACGTCTAAAAATGTTAGAAAAACGTTGGAAAACGTCTAAAGATGTCAAAAAAAAACGTGAAGAAGATTGAAAACTTTGAAAAACGTCTAAAACTCTTAAAAAACGTTGACAAACGTCGAAGAAGATTAATTTAATAGAACATTTAAACAGAAATTGAAACGTATTGTGCACAAAAACGCGTCTTTTCGCATGACATCGCGTTTTACAAAGTTAAAAACATTTTTCGGTACTTTCAGTTAACGATTTTGTAAAAAAAATACGAAATTATCCAGAACTTTAACTTTTTTATGTAGAAATACCTCTAAAAATGTATGACTGCTAACCTGAAACATCGTGTATTGGATCAATATAAAACTTAAGCCGGTCCTGTCTAAGCCAGCATCTTTATGCACATGCGTTTTGACAAACTCAAATAAAATGGCTGCCCGCTTGAAATTACAGCCCACTGACAGGTTATAATATGGCAACACTGATCCTGATAGTTTGATAGAGTCAATGATATAGATGTTTATATAGATTGATCATTTTAAAGTAGTTATTTATGTTTTTTTATCATATTCAAAAGCTGGAAAACGTTATAAATCGTCTAAAAATGTTATAAAAAACGTTTAAAAATGTCTGAAACCGTTGAAAAACCTAAAAAAGTTATAAAACAGTTTGAAAAACGTTAAAAAACACTGAAAACGTCTAAAAATGTTAGAAAAACGTTGGAAAACGTCTAAAGATGTCAAAAAAAAAAACGTGAAGAAGATTGAAAACTTTGAAAAACGTCTAAAACTCTTAAAAAACGTTGACAAACGTCGAAAAAGATTAATTTAATAGAACATTTAAGCAGAAATTGAAACGTATTGTGCACAAAAACGCGTCTTTTCGCATGACATCGCGTTTTACAAAGTTAAAAGCATTTTTCGGTACTTTCAGTTAACGATTTTGTAAAAAAAATACGAAATTATCCAGAACTTGAACTTTTTTATATAGAAATACCTCTAAAAATGTATGACTGCTAACCTGAAACATCGTGTATTGGATCAATATAAAACTTAAGCCGGTCCTGTCTAAGCCAGCATCTTTATGCACATGCGTTTTGACAAACTCAAATAAAATGGCTGCCCGCTTGAAATTACAGGGTTATAATATGGCAACACTGTGAGCCTGATAGTTTGATAGAGTCAATGATATAGATGGTTATATAGATTGATCATTTTAAAGTAGTTATTTATGTTTTTTATCATATTCAAAAGCTGGAAAATGGTTTTAAAACATATTTTTGCTAAACCAATTCGAATTATTGAATATAGATGCTCGCAAATGATCCATTTAATAATAATAATGTTTATTTGAAAATATAAGAGATACATATTAAATAATACAAGAAACAAAAACCATGAAGCAGGTCAAACCTACTAGTGAGTGTTCATCATAAATAAATATGGTAAAATAAGTAGTATAAAAATATACATAGGGTGAGATTACAGAACGTTTGCAAATCTGCGAATATGGCGACAACTTTGTAAGTCCGCCATATTTACAGATCTGCAAAGTTGCCGCCATATTTGCAGATCTACATAGTTGCAGACGTTCTGTAATCTCACCCATATTTTTTTAATTTTTTATTGTTCAATAATAGATTCTTTCGTTCGTCCTACTGGTGTAGTTGGGTGTAGTAATGAACTACACCAACCCACACCCATACCTTTCGTTTGGTCCGGTGTAAAACCCACTATACCTTCCTGTCGGCGATGTGGTGTACACTAGTGGATATTTTCTCCACCAGCTATTTAGCAGGAGTGAATTACACTCGACGATGTGTATAAGGAATAAGGAGGAAGTAAATTAGGGTAAATAAGGTGGTGTAATTTACACTGGTGGACACTACACCAATAGCGAACGAAAGAACCTAATATCATTCTTTGAGCAATCTATGTAACTATATATATCATTGACTCTATCAATGACAAGAGGCTCACATGATTGCCATATATAACCCGGCCATTTTGAACCTTGTGACACACTTTACAGCTAAAGAATCAGATCGCTCCACATACTTTGATTACTATACGAGACAAGAGAGAGGTCCGACACGCCCAACATAGGGCGCGGCCATTTTGAACCCTGTGACACAGTTTACAGCTAAAGAATCAGATCGCTCACTCTGCGTCGGCACTTTGGATCTCAATGTTTCAGTTTATACACTGTGCAACGCGGATAATACAATATATGACAACCGTCTATAATAAAACAGCAGTCTTCTGCGTATCCTGAATTTGTATCCCTGGAGTTGATGTTATTTTGGAACTTTCAACTGGTCCGAGTGAGCTAACTCATTCTTTAGCAATAAACTGTGACTTCAAAAATAATAGTCGTTTTCTTTTTACAAGCATACTTGATTAACTAAAAGTTAGATTCTGATCTAAGCTTAACTGTAAAAAGAACGCGAATTTTGGTTGACAGGTGACGTGCCCCATGTCATCCATTTAAAAACAATCCATATTTTAATCAAATTTTATAATTTTTTCAACATTCAACACTACAAATCTCACCCCCTGTTATCATAGTCTTTTATTCTCTCTAAAATAATGAATTCATGGGATATGTTGGTTCATATGATGCACAGAACACTCACTTTCTGTGATGGTTTATGGTTGACGTCAAGTACCGTGCACCTTAGCATCGGTAAGGGGGGAAGAAAGATTCTGACTTACAATCATAAAAAGATCGTACATTTCAGCTTAGTCGATCTAAGTTAGCTCAGATTAGTTGTAAAAAGAAAACGACTATTATTCACTGACAGCAGCAAGCAGAATATCAGGGGGGCTATTTTCAAAGTATGGGAGCACTCATTTCTCTCAAGATTCTCATCAGAAATGTCATACGTCAATGTGGAAATGTTGTTTTTAAAGGCCTCGAGGATTAAAATTCTTAGGGGGATATTAATTATCTCTAAATAAACCGTGAGAAACAATCAGTGAGTTTACACTGGCCCTTAGGACCCTAAAATACTGTTTTACGTTGACGTATGACATTTCTCTCGAGAGAAATGAATTCTCTCGACTTTGAAAATAGCACCCCGGGGGGGCTATTTTCAAAGTATGGGAGCACTCATTTCTCTCAGAAATGTCATAAGTCAATGTGGAAATGTTGTTTTTAAAGGCATCGAGGATTAAAATTCTTAAGAAGATTTTAATTATCTCTAAATAAACCGAGAGAAACAGTCAGTGAGTTCACACTGGGCCTAAGAGCCCTAAAAATACGGTTTTACGTTGACGTATGACATTTCTCTTGAGAGAAATGAATTCTCTCGAGTTTGAAAATAGCCCCCCGGGGCACAGAAGCGTCATCTTAATTGTATACATTTTGAGGGACACTTTGTATACAGAGATTGTTCTCCTTTCCTCTACCCTTCATAGATAGGCAGGTCGTTCTAATGCTAATGCGTTCAACGCGTTATCAATGACAAGTGACGGCGACTTTTTATCACAAAAAATAATAATAATAAATAATAATAAATGCTTTTATTGACATTATGCATACATATATGACTTATTTATGTCAATTGGCAGGGTTCAGTGTTCCTTAAAGGTAGATAAGTGATATTTAACAAATATTTTAAAGTTATGGACTTTCCACCATTTTTTATAGTATTTAAAAGTTAAAACGCAAAATACATTATTTTATATTTGCCCTTATTATTTTAGGAATCTTGTGTTGACATTAAGAGAAATTTAAAGTGACGTCTTGTATTACTTCGAATGATAAATCGTTTTCTAACCTAAGAAAAAAGTTGAACTTGGCCTTAAGCCTTGTTTAGAGTAGAAATGGCGCTACTACTCTGAACAAGGCTTTATGGTTTCACTGTAGACGTATGGAATTGACTTTCTATACTATTTCTATGGTATAAAGCGTATTTTTACGTATCAGAATGCTACTTTCTTAAGAATGGACGTAAATATATTGTGTTTGAGAGTGAAACAGACTTAAATATTTGCTACATGATTTTTTTCGTACCTGTCAACATCTTCTTCTTTAACCTCAGTCAAAGGTCCTAAAATAGCTAAACCAGCATTGTTTACCAACAAGTCTACGTCTCCTACATTTTCTAACATACATTTTGTGGCATCCCAATCGGTCAAATCCAACGGTATAATTTTAATAGACGGCACTTCTTTCTGAAGTGAGGTTAGTAACTCCTTATTTCTAGCGACGGCAATGACATTCGCCTTACATTTTACCAGCTGCTTTACAATTTCTCTGCCGATTCCTTGACTAGCGCCTGTTACGAGTGCCGTTTTGCCTTGAAAGTTGATTTCCATTCTTTTCGGGATAGTAGTTAAACGTTATAAATATAATAATATAACTAAGATAACTATTACTACAGTTACCACACTTCTCCTATTACTATCACCAGAGTTCAAGATTGCGAAACAGCAAGGTAAAATCAACAGTAAATAATCTTTATGACAATTTATATGTGTTTGCGTTATTTATACAGAGTGGATGTTAGTAGTTAGGATAAAGATGATATACTCAGGAGTTGAACTTTTTGTCCAGATATTGAGATTTCTAAACATGTCTTTGTAAATTTAATTTTTTCAATGCTATTTTTAATTTCATGAAATATTGTGGTTTCTAACTTAAATAACTTTATTGATGAAATGATGTTAGTTTTGGGATATTTTCTGTGCTATTTCTGGATCAATTTTAGTATAGAATACTATATAAGCATTTTAGCTAATTATTGATGAAATGATATTAGTTTTGAAATATTTTTTGTGCTATTTCTGGATCAATTTTAGTATAGAATACTATATAAGCATTTTAGCTAATTATTGATGAAATGATATTTGTTTTGAGATATTTTCTGTGCTATTTCTGGATCAATTTTAGTATAGAATTCTATATAAGCATTTTAGCTAATTATTGATGAAATTATATTAGTTTTGAGATATTTTTTGTGCTATTTCTGGATCAATTTTAGTATAAAATTCTATATAAGCATTTTAGCTAATTAATTAGTTTTGAGATATTTTCTGGGAAATTTCTGGATCAATTTTAGTATAGAATACTATATAAGCATTTTAGCTAATTATTGATGAAATGATATTAGTTTTGAGATATTTTCTGTGCTATTTCTGGATGAATTTTAGTATAGAATACTATATAAGCATTTTAGCTAATTATTGATTAAATGATATTAGTTTTGAGATATTTTCTGTGCTATTTCTGGATCAATTTTAGTATAGAATACTATATAAGCATTTTAGCTAATTATTGATGAAATGATATTAGTTTTGAGATATTTTCTGTGCTATTTCTGGATCAATTTTAGTATAGAATACTATATAAGCATTTTAGCTAATTATTGATGAAATGATATTAGTTTTGAGATATTTTCTGTGCTATTTCTGGATCAATTTTAGTATAGAATACTATATAAGCATTTTAGCTAATTATTGATGAAATGATATTAGTTTTGAGATATTTTCTGTGCTATTTCTGGATCAATTTTAGTATAGAATACTATATAAGCATTTTAACTAATTATTGATGAAATGATATTAGTTTTGAGATATTTTCTGTGCTATTTCTGGATCAATTTTAGTATAGAATACTATATAAGCATTTTAGCTAATTATTGATGAAATGATATTAGTTTTGAAATATTTTCTGTGCTATTTCTGGATCAATTTTAGTATAGAATACTATACAAGCATTTTTAGCTAATTATTGATGAAATGATATTAGTTTTGAGATATTTTTTGTGCTATTTCTGGATCAATTTTAGTATAAAATTCTATATAAGCATTTTAGCTAATTAATTAGTTTTGAGATATTTTCTGTGCTATTTCTGGATCAATTTTAGTATAGAATACTATATAAGCTTTTTAGCTAATTATTGATTAAATGATATTAGTTTTGAGATATTTTCTGTGCTATTTCTGGATCAATTTTAGTATAGAATACTATATAAGCATTTTAGCTAATTATTGATGAAATGATATTAGTTTTGAGATATTTTCTGTGCTATTTCTGGATCAATTTTAGTATAGAATACTATACAAGCATTTTTAGCTAATTATTGATGAAATGATATTAGTTTTGAGATATTTTTTGTGCTATTTCTGGATCAATTTTAGTATAGAATACTATATAAGCATTTTAGCTAATTATTGATGAAATGATATTAGTTTTGAGATATTTTTTGTGCTATTTCTGGATCAATTTTAGTATAGAATACTATATAAGCATTTTAGCTAATTATTGATGAAATGATATTAGTTTTGAGATATTTTCTGTGCTATTTTTGGATCAATTTTAGTATAGAATACTATATAAGCATTTCGGTATTCATCCTCCTTTTTTGGAGGCAATCATTGCTCTTCAGCCTTCTACTCTGGAGTTGAAATTTGTTGTCCAGTATACTTTGCTGGAGGTGAGCATTGATGTCCAGCCTCTTTGGGTTGTGTTGTAGTATCCAATTAAATATTCCATAGTTACAAAAATAGAAAAAAAAACAGCAGCAGGTGGTGTCTTCTAAGAGTTCCCCCTCTATCTTAGTTACAAGATGATGCAGAGCACAATCACAATATTTTCGTGATAGAGACAGATAGATGTTTGTTTGTATGAAATGGCCTTTCTATCAAAGTGGTTTTAATCAGTTTTTCCAATCCTTTCAGTAGAAATATATGTCTTTGCCACTGCATATGTTGGTTTAGGCATAAAAAAAACTCTGCTTTGTTTACAGATAAATTGGTACATGATTATGCGCCAAACTTATCTTGTAGAGCCAACAAATATGCAGGACAAGTGATTGTATTGCCTATTGCAGAAGCATAGGCAATATCCCATCTGGTCCTGATGATTTGAAGGACCATGTTACTTTCTCTGTTGTTTCCTACTTGAGAGAGAGTTTGTGTGGGTAAATAAGTTTTGAGAAGTATTTCTAACGTTTCCATTTCAGTTTTAGTGTTAGGAATAAGAAAATAACAAATGTTGATGAACAATAATTTATTTATAATAAATTTAGTTACTAGACAATAATAACCTAAAATCTTGAATGCATATAGTAATCTATGGCTGTCGAAAAGGCTGCAAAACCCATTGCACCTACAACCCCAGCTTTTACACCGGCTATAAAGAAAAACAAGTTTTATTATCGATATAAATTAAATTTTTAAGCTATTGCATAGCTTTTATCGCGGGCTTTGAGCGCGGCGAGCGAATCAAGAAATTCCGTAAACCGTAACGAAAAAAAACCTAACACCCCCCACTCCGACCGGCACAGCGGTGAGGCGTTAAACAATATTATTTATTCAATAAAAAAAAAATCGAAAAATAAAAAAAATCGAAAAAATAAAAAAATCGAAAAAATAGAAAATCGAAAAATCGAAAAATCGAAAAATCGAAAAATGGAAAAATCGAAAAAATGGAAAATTGAAAAAATGGAAAATCGAAAAATCGAAAAATTGAAAACTCGAAATCGAAAAAATGGAAAATCGAAAAATTGAAAAATCGAAAAATTGAAAAAATGGAAAATCAAAAAATTGAAAAACTCAAAAAATCAAAAAACCGAAAAATCAAATAATCGTAAAAACGAAAATAATTCGAAAAACCGAAAAATCAAAAAATCGAATAATCCGAAAAAACGAAAAAATTGAAAAAATCGAAAAATCAAAAATTCGATAAACTGAAAAATCGAAAAAATTTAAAAATTAAATCGTAAAAATTAAAAAATTAAAAAAATCGAAAATCGAAAAAACGAAAAAATTGAAAAAATCGAAAAACCGAAAAATAAAAAAAAACGAAAAATCAAAAACCGAAAAATAAAAAAAAAAACGAAAAATCAAAAAATCGTAAAAACCGAAATAATTCGAAAAAATTAAAAAATCGAAAAATCAAAAATTCGATAAACCGAAAAATCGAAAAAATTTAAAAATCAAATCGAAAAAATTAATAATCGAAAAAATCGAAAAATCGAATAATCCGAAAAAATCGAAAAACCGAAAAATCGAAAAATAAAAAAAAACCGAAAAACCGAAAAATAAAAAAACCAAAAAATAAAAAAAAATCCGAAAAATCGAAAAACCGAAAAATCAAAAATCGTAAAAACCGAAATAATTCGAAAATTCGAAAAATCAAAAAACCGAAAAACCAAAAAATCGAAAAAATTAAAAAATCGTAAAATCGAAAAATCAAAAATTCGATAAACCGAAAAATCGAAAAAATTAAAAATCAAATCGTAAAAATTAAAAAATCGAAAAAATCAAAAAACCAAAAATCCGAAAAATCGAATAATCCGAAAACACGAAAAAATTGAAAAAATCGAAAAACCGAAAAATAAAAAAAAAAAACGAAAAACCGAAAAATAAAAAAAAAACAAATCGAAAAAATTAAAAAATCGAAAAATCAAATCGTAAAATTGAAAAATCAAAAATTCGATAAACTGAAAAATCGAAAAAATTAAAAAATCAAATCGTAAAAATTAAAAAAACGAAAAAATCGAAAAATCGAACAATCCGAAAAAACGAAAAAAATTGAAAAAATCGAAAAACCGAAAAATAAAACGAAAAATCAAAAACCGAAAAATCAAAAAAAAAAAAAAAAAAAAAAAAAAAACGAAAAATCAAAAAATCGTAAAAACCGAAATAATTCGAAAAACCGAAAAATCAAAAAATCAAAAAATCGAAAAACCAAAAAATCGAAAAACCAAAAAATCGAAAAACCAAAAAATCGAAAAAATTAAAAAATTGAAAAATCAAAAATTCGATAAACCGAAAAATCGAAAAAATTAAAAAATCAAATCGTAAAAATTAATAATCGAAAAAATCGAAAAACCGAAAAATCGAATAATCCGAATAATCGAAAAATAAAAAAAAACCGAAAAATCAAAAAATCGAAAAATAAAAAAAAATCTGAAAAATCGAAAAACCGAAAAATCAAAAAATCGTAAAAACCGAAATAATTCGAAAATTCGAAAAATCAAAAAACCGAAAAACCAAAAAATCGAAAAAATTAAAAAATCGTAAAATCGAAAAATCAAAAATTCGATAAACGGAAAAATCGAAAAAATTAAAAAATCAAATCGTAAAAATTAAAAAATCGAAAAAATCAAAAAACCAAAAATCGAATAATCCGAAAGAACGAAAAAAATCGAAAAAACGAAAAATAAAAAAAAAACGAAAAATCAAAAAACCGAAAAATCAAAAAAAACCGAAAAATCGTAAAAACCGAAATAATTCGAAAAACCGAAAAATCAAAAAACCGAAAAATCGAAAAACCAAAAAATCGAGAAAATTAAAAAATCGAAAAATCAAATCGTAAAATCGAAAAATCAAATCGTAAAAATTAAAAAATCGAAAAAATTAAAAAATCGAAAAAATCAAAAAACCAAAAATCCGAAAAATCGAATAATCCGAAAAAATTGAAAAAATCGAAAAAACGAAAAATAAAAAAAAAAACGAAAAATCAAAAAACCGAAAAATCAAAAAAAACCGAAAAATCGTAAAAACCGAAATAATTCGAAAAACCGAAAAATCGAAAAACCAAAAAATCGAAAAAATTAAAAAATCGAAAAATCAAATCGTAAAATCGAAAAATCAAATCGTAAAAATTAAAAAATCGAAAAAATTAAACAAACGAAAAAATCGAAAAAAATCGAAAAACCGAAAAATCGAAAATTAAAAAAAAAACGAAAAATTAAAAAACCGAAAAATAAAAAAAAAAACGAAAAATCGTAAAAACCGAAATAATTCGAAAAACCGAAAAATAAAAAAACCGAAAAATCGAAAAACCAAAAAATCGAAAAAAATTAAAAAATCGAAAAATCAAAAATTCGATAAACCGATAAATCGAAAAAATTAAAAAATCAAATCGTAAAAATTAATAATCGAAAAAATCGAAAAACCGAAAAATCGAATAATCCGAAAAACCGAAAAATCGAAAAACCGAAAAATAAAAAATCCGAAAAATAGAAAAATCAAAAAATCGTAAAAACCGAAATAATTCGAAAAATCAAAAATCCGAAAAACCAAAAAATCGAAAAAATAAAAAAATCGTAAAATCGAAAAATCAAAAATTCGATAAACCGAAAAATCGAAAAAATTCAAAAATCAAATCGTAAAAATTAAAAAAATCAATAAACCAAAAATCCGAAAAATCGAATAATCCGAAAAAACGAAAAAATTGAAAAAATCGAAAAAACGAAAAAAAAAAAAAAAACGAAAAATCAAAAAACCGAAAAATAAAAAAAAAACCGAAAAATCGTAAAAACCGACATAATTCGAAAATTCGAAAAACCGAAAAATCAAAAAACCGAAAAATCAAAAAACCGAAAAAATCGAAAAACCAAAAAATCGAAAAAATTAAAAAATCGAAAAATCAAATCGTAAAAATTAAAAAATCGAAAAAATTAAAAAAACGAAAAATCGAAAAAAATCGAAAAATAAAAAAAAAAACGAAAAATCAAAAAAACCGAAAAATCAAAAAAAAAAAACGAAAAATCGTAAAAACCGAAATAATTCGAAAAACCGAAAAATAAAAAAACCGAAAAACCAAAAAATCGAAAAAATTAAAAGATCGAAAAATCAAATCGTAAAATCGAAAAATCAAAAATTCGATAAACCGAAAAAATTGAAAAATCAAATCGTAAAAATTAAAAAATCGAAAAAATTAAAAAAACGAAAAAATCGAAAAAAATCGAAAAACCGAAAAATCGAAAAATAAAAAAAAAACAAAAAATCAAAAAACCGAAAAATCTTATAGTTTCTTATTTTAGTTACCATAAACCTATAGTTTCAATGATAAAAATTCCTAAATAACCTACATGTATTGTAAGGTAAAAATATTTTAAACAAAATAATAAAAGAAAAAAAATGTTTTCTTATCAGTCACCGCGCGCTCAAAAATTGTAACTTGAATTAATATCAAAGAAAAAAAAATACTGCATAAATAAAATAAATAAATAATTATAATTGCATAAGTTGATAAAAAACTTGCCTCTTAAACCTATCAATCCACCTGTGACTCCTCCTGCATACGTCCCGTTTTTCCAATCTGACTTTCCTCTAGACTAAAAATAAATAAAAATATCGAAAATATAATTTAAACAACAATCAAGCATCTTACAGATTCAATTACACATTCGACTCCAGAAAATAGAGCTCCTATTAACGCGAAATTTTTAGCATAACCTAGAGTGGTCGTTTTCATTTCTCTAAACACTTGTCTTGCTGTTTGGGGCTCTGTGGTATCGGTAACCGAAGCAGGTCCTATACTTGATGAGAAAAGACCTATAGCCGCTCCCAAACCATAACCTGAAAAGGAAATCTTATAAATTAAGAAAAAAAGAAAACAAAACTATTTAATGAGCATTCTTACCAACAACACAACTCATAAGAGACTTAAATGTACAACTTTCAAAGAACGATTCCACCATCTTTTCTTCATTGGTCTTTATTTGTACCGGACCGACACTTTTGGGTATAATTATGTTTTCTCTATAACGAAAATTGTTTCCTACGAAATATTTGATTAAATAGTCCCATTCCTGGGCCGTAAAAGACCTTTTTTCTTGCTGAGACTGTGACATTCTGATTTAACCTCACAAATTCAAATTTAATTTTTTTAACACTACATCACAATTTAACAATAATTATTTGAATAATATTGAACAATTTTAGTGTTTAGTTTAATAATTTATAGTAAATTAGTAAACACAATTGAAATTAGAACGAAAATATTTAGATATTAGGTTAGAAAGTGGTATTTGCAGGAACACATTCCGTCATTCCATATGCTATATAGCGCAGTTGCTAATACGGGAGTATGGGAGACTTTTAATTTCAATTTGAGCTGTGTCCAGCCGTTGGAGTCTATCCCGGTTAAGTAAGGGTTGATATTTCCTACAAGAAGCCGTTCTTTGGTCTTCTTGTTCTATATTCACGGGCTGATATGTGGATGGAATGTATTACTACAAATACCGCTTTGTTTGACAAGATCAATGATTTTATAGTTATATAGATTGATCATCCATACGTAATAAATCGATGAAAAGCGAGTTGAATTAGATGTTTTCTCTTTGTCTAGTATATGCAATGTGTGTGTTTTGTATCAATTGTGAGTGTTTACTGCTCACTGGTAAACAAACCTTTTATAAAACCGGTTTAGAAGAAAGTTTAGTCTAGTTGAGATTTTGTTGTCAATAGTCGTTTTCTTTTTACAACTAATCAAGGGGGGCTATTTTCAAAGTCGAGAGAATTCATTTCTCTCGAGAGAAATGTCATACGTCAACGTAAAACAGTATTTTTAGGGTCCTAAGGGCCAGTGTGAACTCACTGATTGTTTCTCACGGTTCATTTAGAGATAATTAATATCCTCATAAGAATTTTAATCCTCGAGGCCTTTAAAAACAGCGTTTCCACATTGACGTATGACATTTCTGATGAGAATCTTGAGAGAAATGAGTACTCACACGATTTGAAAATAGGTCCCCAGGGGGGCTATTTTCAAACTCGAGAGAATTCATTTCTCTCAAGAGAAATGTCATACGTCAACGTAAAACCGTATTTTTAGGGCTCTTAGGGCCAGTGTGAACTCACTGACTGTTTCTCTCGGTTTATTTAGAGAGAATTTAAATCTTCCTAAGAATTTTAATCCTCGATGCCTTTAAAAACATTTCCACATTGACGTATGACATTTCTGATGAGAATCTTGAGAGAAATGAGTGCTCCCATACTTTGAAAATAGCCCCCCTGAGCTAACTTACATCGACTAAGCTGAGATGTACGTTCTTTTTATGATTGTAAGTCAGACTCTTTCTTCCCCCCTTACCGATGCTAAGGTGCACGGTACTTGACGTCAACCATAAACCATCACAGAAAGTGAGTGTTCTGTGCATCATATGAACAAACATATCCCATGAATTCATTATTTTAGAGAGAATAAAAGACTATGATAACAGGGGGTGAGATTTGTAGTGTTGAATGTTGAAAAAATTATAAAATTTGATTAAAATATGGATTGTTTTTAAATGGATGACATGGGGCACGTCACCTGTCAACCAAAATTCGCGTTCTTTTTACAGTTAAGCTTAGATCAGAATCTAACTTTTAGTTAGTCAAGTATGCTTGTAAAAAGAAAACGACTATTATTTTTGAAGTCACAGTTTATTGCTAAAGAATCAGTTAGCTCACTCGGACCAGTTGAAAGTTCCAAAATAACATCCACTCCAGGGATACAAATTCAGGATACGCAGAAGACTGCTGTTTTATTATAGGCGGTTGTCATATATTGTATTATCCGAGTTGCACAGTGTATAAACTGAAACTTTGAGATCAAAAGTGCCGACGCAGAGTGAGCGATCTGATTCTTTAGCTGTAAACTGTGTCACAGGGTTCAAAATAGCCGCGCCCTATGTTGGGCGTATCGGACCTCTCTCTTGCCTCGTAATAGTAATCATATGCTGCGTTTGAGAATCCACATCGGATGCATTTTTTACATTTTGAGCGTTTTTTTATCCACATCGGACACATCTGTCCCATTACATTTACATATACTGAATCACGTGATCAAAGATTTTTTACATCTCAGATGCATCCGATGTGGATTCTCAAACGCGGCAAAAGTATGTGGCGCATATATTAGGTCTTTTCCTTTGCATCGAAAGTGTAGCACTGAACTACACCACTTCTGAAAATATCGTTCCATTTATACAAATTGTATGGATAGAACGATATTCTCAGAAGTGACGTAGCTCAGTGCTACACTTTCGATGCAAAGGAAAAGACCTATTATGGATAATAAGCAGTCTATATGAATGAGCAGTCTATATATCGATGACCAGTCTATATAACATTTATAGCATTGGTTGTTCTATGTCAACTGTCAAAATGTCGAGCATGTCGTTTGATTAGTAGATATCAGATGTCAGCACTGTTTGTATTTTTCATAATTTAATTTAATTAAAATCATTTTCACCGTTAGTTATGACCTATACAGAAGAATACATAAAGAATAAACTCGCAAAAGAACTCGAAGCTACTCATGTGGTAAGTCCTATTTTTTTAAATTTCAAATTTAATTTTAAATTTCTGTCAAATTTGGGACATAACCTCATTATTGATTTTTCACCGAACTGGTGCATGGTGCCACATCACACGAAAATGAGGATATTTATCAGTAAATCAATCAAAATTTCACATTGTTAAGATGCCCAAATTAAAATCTATCAATTAAAAATAATAATATTGATCAAACGTCATAATGTACTGTAGAATTACTTCAGAGACGTGGTTAGTGGTTTTTGGAGCTTTCCTTGCTATTTTACTGCGAGCATGTACTAATTTGCATTCCTATTCGGGGGAAGCAAAGCCTCCGATGTATGGAGATTATGAAGCGCAGCGACATTGGATGGAAATCACTACAAACTTACCTATAAATGAATGGTACCAAAACAGTACAAATAACGATTTAAACTATTGGGGTTTAGATTACCCTCCTTTAACAGCATATCATATGTACATCTGTGGAAAAGTAGCTGAATATTTAAACGAAAATTACACAAAATTGCATGAATCCAGAGGATATGAAAGCGAGGACCACAAGGTGTTTATGAGGTTCACAGTAATGATTGGGGACGTACTATTTTATATTCCGGCTCTTATACTGTATTATCATACTTGTATTAAAACGATAGAGACTCAAGATGGTGGTGTGAAGAAAAAGAAGTTTAAAAACCAAAAAAAGTTAACAGAAATCAAACCAATGAGTACATCATTATCGACTGTCATTGGTTTGTTATATCCCGGTATAATATTAATAGATCACGGTCATTTTCAGTATAATTGTATTTCTTTAGGTTTTACTATTACAGCAATTACTTTGATATTGAAAAAATTTGATATTTTAGCTTCTATTTTTTACTGTTTAGCTTTGAATTACAAACAAATGGAGTTGTACCACGCATTACCGTTTTTTTTGTATCTTTTAAGTACCTGCGTGCCTAAACCTGGTCAAAAAACAGTATGGGGTATCTTTAGACTGTTTAAAATAGGTATAGCAGTAATTATAACTTTTATTATAATCTGGTATCCATTTTTATACGATTTAGGAGAGTTATTACAAGTTTTGAATAGACAGTTTCCTTTAGGAAGAGGTGTATTTGAAGATAAGGTGTCGAATGTTTGGTGTGCCTTGAATGTTGTATTTAAATTTAAAACAAAGTTTGATAACTATCAAATGATGAGAATATGCTTGTTTACTACTGTAGCTTCGCTCCTACCAAGTTCTGTTGATCTATTTTTAAGACCTAATAGAAAAAAGTTTGTTCTAGCTCAAATAAATTCTTCTTTATCGTTTTTTTTGTTTAGTTTCCAAGTACATGAGAAGAGTATTCTTCTTGTTGCTATACCGGTTTTATTATACTTTCCTTATGATTCATTTACTTGCTATTGGTTTCTTTGTATGTCTGTTTTCAGTATGACTCCTCTTTTAGTTAAAGATAATTTAACTATAGCTATTATAGCTCTTACTCTATTTTATTGTGTCACTTTTCGAGTCTCTATTGAGCATAATTATAGAAGTAGTTTGAATAATCATGATGGATTTAAAGAATATTATAGAAGTCTTGTACATTCTTTGCTAGATATAGAGTACAAGAAGGCGACTCAAATGGGTATATTTAAAGCATCTTTGCAACAAATTATTAAAAATTCTGATGCTTTAAGATCTTTAATATTCCATTGTTGTATGTTTTTATCACTTATAGGTTGTTTGTTAATATTTTTTATGTCTCTGTTGCTACAACCGCCGCCTAAATATCCGGATTTATACCCGCTTGTTATTTCTGTGTACTCGTGCGTCCATTTTGTAGGATTTTTTATTTATTTTAATTACAAACAACTAAAGATACCTCAACAGTTTGAAGATATTCGGATTGAAAAAATTAAGTTCTCCTAGGTTTATATTATGTTTCTTTAAGTTACAATTCGTTTTTGACTGTTATAAATTGTTGATTTTCAATAAAGATTGTTTAAAATTACTTTGATTTTTAATACTTTTAAATAGGCTATCTTTAGAGGCACTTATGTGAGTAGAACTATGAAAATTACTACAATTAAAGATACGTTTTACATATTTAAACAGATTGCTTAAAAACTACCGCTAATTTTGAACGTTATTTATGGAAATTCAAAAGAAAATTAGCTATAATGTTTATATAGTATTCTATAATTAAATTGATCCAGAAATAGCACAAAAAATATCTCAAAACTAATATAATTTCATCAATAATTAGCTAAAATGCTTATATACTATACTGTACTTAAATTGATCTAGAAATAACACAGAAAATATCTCAAAACTAATATCATTTCATCAATAATTAGTTAAAATGCTTAT